GTGGTGGTGGTGGTTGTGGTTGTGGTTGTTGTTGTGGTTGTGGTTGTGGTTGTGATTGTTGTTGTTGTTGATGATGATGATGATGATGTTGTTGTTGTGGTTGTGGTTGTGGTTGCGGTTGTTGTTGTGGTTGTGGTTGTGGTGGTGGTGGTGGTGGTTGTGGTTGTGGTTGTGGTTGTGGTTGTTGTTGTTGTTGTTGTGGTTGTGGTTGTGGTTGTTGTTGTTGTTGTTGTTGTTGTGGTTGTGGTTGTGGTGGTGGTGGTGGTGGTGGCGGTTGTGGTTGGTGGTTGTGGTTGTGGTTGTGGTTGTGGTTGTGGTTGTGGTTGTGGTTGTGGTTGTTGTTGTTGTTGTTGTTGGTGTTGTTGTTGTTGTTGTTGTTGTTGTTGTTGTTGTTGTTGTTGTTGTTGGCTGTTGTTGTTGTTGTTGTTGTGGTGTTGGTGGTGGTGGTGGTGGTTGTGGTTGTGGTTGTTGTTGTTCTTGTTCTTGTTCTTGTTCTTGTTCTTCTTGTTGCCCAGAAAAGACCACACCAAGCCTGGGGACTTCATACATGACATTTCGTGATGGATGGCTTGACCCAGAAATCTCTGGCAGACGCATCATAGCCGCAGCTGGCGAAAAGGAAGCCAGCCAGCGGTCTCCGCATGTCCGGCTGCTCTGGCAGCTAGCCTTTCTCTTCAGAGCTTGGAATGTGATGGGCTGCCTAAGTAATGCTTGTCGCCGTAGACGTATCACATCATGTTGGCCGTGTGAACTCGCAATCACATGCACACAAGCACATTGCTCATGGGCAAGAAGCTTTGCTCAAAGCAGACGCACTAGACTGTCTTTTGTTGCATATATAGCAAAATAGTTGTACAAACACAAGCACACACACAGGCAACCATTCCAGTCATGTTGCATATAGGCACGTGCAAAACCACACAGGCCAGCATTTTCCAGTCAGCTGGGCCTCAGGGAAGCCTTTGCGCCAGGCATCGGCCTGGGCTCCCGCGTGGCCTGCTTCCTCGCGGGGCTGCGGCCCTTCGCAGGCTTGGTGCTGGAGCCCGCCTGGCTGCACGTGGTGCGGGGACTTCGTTGTGTTTGCGCCGCAGGTCCCTTGATTTGGCGCATGTTGATGTTTGGCCCCTGAACTGTTTGAAGGAGCCATGAGGGCTCATCCCCGTGTGGGGTGACATACTAGCGTGCATATGTGCTGGTTTCGGCCGCACATGCGTTGAGCCGATTTGAGGGCGTGTGTTGTTTGAGTTCCCTTTTTCACAAGAAGGGGAAGCAACCCCCCGTTTTTGGGTTTCCTTTTAGGTTCAACGTTCAAAGGGGAAGAATACAGGAAACGTCAAAAGAAGGGGACCCCAGCCCTTTTTTGGCTTTCCTTGTAGGCTTGGTTGAAAGGGGAATAAAGGAAAACCTTCTGTCCCTTGAGCGGGTCGGCTTAGGACTGCCTGGGCTGGCAGCTACGCCCCGGGGGCGCAACCGCTGCCGGAGCCGCCGAAGCACACGGCGCTGGCGACCATGGGCTGCAACGCGGCGGGGGACAGCAGGCCGCGTCTTCTGGAAGCGCGGGGCTGGCTTCATAAGTGCCCCGTGCAGGTGTGTCTTTCTCTTAGGAGACCCCCACCCCCCAAAGAAAGGAGAAGTGGTTTTCCTTTTGGTGTCCCTTCAAACGAGCACAAAAAGGGGTACCCTTAAAACAGGACGGACCCGGTTGCAGGCGAAGCAGAAGCAACAGAAAATCAGAGTCAGAGCGTTTCATGCCATTGGACTACGACTTCAGAGCCTTGAAGCGAACGCGAACCTGCTGCAGAGCCTGCAACGCATCTCAAAAACCCACGCGCCACCCGACTTCCCCGAAACTCCCCGAAAGTCACAACCTATCCCTTCCCAGCCTTCAGACATTCCTTGAATTCCCCCCCCCGAAAGAACCACAAAAAAAGGGCGGGAAACAAATCGCCAGCCCAACATCTCGCCCATTTCCGCGGAAAAATCCTCGCGCCCCGCCCACGCCCCTCCCCCGGCCCTCGAACCAGCGATCTCCGCTGGGCTCGGCGGGGCGCGGCGCGCGAGGTTCGGGTCCCGGGAGCTGCACCTCGCGGCGGCGCAGCTGGGCCGCAGAGCGCGGCTGCTGCTGCAGCGGCCCTTGGGAGGCGCGGGAGGGGCCGGGGGGGGGGGGAGGGGAAGGGGGAGGGGTGAGGGGGGAAGGGGGAGGGGTGAGGGGTGAGGGGGGCGGAGGGAGGGGGGGTTGAGGGGGGCGGAGGAAGGGGGGGTGAGGGGGGGGGGGAGGGGCTGGGGGGAGGGGGGGAGGTGGATGGCGACCTCCGCGCGTCTCGCAAAGCACGAAAGGAAGGAAGCCATGGAGCTGAAACCATGGCGTTTGTTGCGGTATTTCCGGTGGGGAATCGTATCAGAAGCCAGGGTTTCTGAACGGTGGTGCGAAATGGAGTTCGTCCATCCAGGGATACGGAAGAACGGGAGGAGAAATGAAAGCAAGAGAGAAGAAGAGCGCCAGTTGCAAATAGATGCAAGTGACTATAGTTACCAAAGAAGGAGCAGGGTTCATACGACTTGAAAAGTCAACACTTCCAGACGGCTGGAGAGTGAGACTGGCGTTTTCAATAGGCCAGTGAGCTCGTGCCAGGTCTCGGGGTGGACTTGGCTGGGGCTGCCTTGAACAACCAGTCCGCGCACTTCTGCTTTGTGAGGGGCAACGAGGACCTGATCCAGGCGCACGAGGGTGAGGGATGTGAAGCCTGTTCCGATGGGCAAAAACAGCGCGGAGGTTTGAGCCGGTTGACCGAGTTAGGACAAGTAGCTCAAGGAACAGAGTGTGTGGAAGTTGAATGGCTTCCTTCAAATAGCTTTTTCATACGCTTAATGCTGGATGCTTTTTGGACGGACCTTCTTTGTGGCCTCTGCCTATTGAGCTGGGCAAAGCATGGCAAACAAGCATGATGTGAGAAGCACAAGCCATGGCAAGTTCAGATCCCTAAACAGCCCGATGAATGCCTTTGGAGACAAGAATGGGGGAGCCTTGACGACCTGCACGGGACAAGGTGAGGGTTTGGGTGAAGATGGCGATTTCAATTCCAAGCCATGGGGTTGAGTCCCTCACAGAGCAATTCCTCACAAAAAAGAGTAGATATTATTTGAACCAATGTTTCTTTTCACATACTTGTTGCCACAGTTCTATCGGTGCCTTCCACATTCTTTCCAGGCATCCTTCTTTCTAGAAAACCTCCAGAAACCCAGGGAAAACGGATCTGGTTTTCGAAAAGAACGATGGTTGAAAAGAATGGAAAAGGAAAGAACCCCTAGAACCGTCCCCTCGAATTCTCCTCGACTTTGCGGCCCTGTCCGCTTTTCCGCTTTTACGCTCGTCCGCGGCCAGGGCTTCCAGGGAAGGCTGCTGATTCTCCACGGGGAAGTGGACCACGTGGTGCCCTCTGGCCATGCCAAGCGCCTGAACGATGCCGCGCAGCATGCGGCCAGCAGGCAGTCGGGCAGGGCCGGTCTGGAGCCCGGCCCCAGTCGGGTGGTGTTTGTCATACTGTGGATGGACGAAATCCGTTTCGCACCGCTCGGAAAGCATGACAAACCTTTGATGGTTGGTATTTGCAGGGGAATCAACATTCCAGGGTTTCTTGGGTGGTGCGAAATGGATTTCGTCCATCCACAGTAGTGCCCCCATGGGTTGGTCTACTTTTGGTGCCAGCCAGAAGGCTTGGTGCACTTTTGGTTTTTGTCTAAACAGCAAGTGCCAACCAGGAGGCTGGGTTTACTTTTTTTTTCTGAAAGATGGCAACCCAGAAAGGATTGGTCCAGGATTTGCGTTGTGGCTCTCAGTCGGATCGATGCTCGTCGGCTTGGCTGTCACCCATCGCAAGTTGGAGAACCTGAGGTCATTGGGGTGCTCGGCGTCCCCAGTCCAAACTTGAAAAGTCGGCCGGCCAGGGAAAGTCAGACATCGCCGTTGGAGAGTCTACCCTTTCAAGATGGAAGTTCGCACTCTCCCTTTTCGGACGCTTGCCTTCTTTTTTTCTGTTTCTTTTTGTTGGAGGGGGGGGAGTGCGTTTCTGCGTCACTTGTCTTGCAGGCAGCTGGTGCTGGCCAAGGGCAAGCGTTCTGACAGCCTCCGTGGCAGCGCGGAGTATGCCGAGGCTTTGCGCGCCTTCTTCGGGGTAAAAAGGCGGCGATCGGATTGGGGGATCGGCAAGCTGTGCGTAGCCTCCAACGGCGCAGAAGCATGTGAGCCACAATCAAAACCCGGGTAGATGAAGGTTAGTAAGGGACAATCCCAACCATAAATAGCTGCGGCCGCCTTCTTGATTCTTTACATGGTTCTGGGTCGACCATTTTAGTACCAGGTTTTGATTATGACTCATGTGGCCGTGGGTTACAACCGTTTTGGGATCCCATTTTGGTTGGTAGGTGAATTCACCACCCATTTTAAATTTTAGAACCTATTTTAAGTGGGGATGGGATTGGGATGTTCACTGGGGGTATGGGATTTTGACTCATGGCCATGTCAGACCAAAGCAATGCTTTCGGCGCTGTGCAAAGCAGAACTGAACTTCACAATTTGTCGCGGATTCATGCTGCTACATCGCTTCATCCGTTGGCCGTCCTCGCCAACAGATCAACGGATGCCAACCAAATACATCCGAATACATTAAACAAATCACTGTCAGCTATCGTGAACCATCTTATTTGGATCTACATTTTAGCACAAGGGGTGGGGGAATTCTTACCAGGCTACTGTGGATGGACGAAATCCATTTTGCAGTGCCTAAGAAACCCAGGAACGATCATTCTCCTGTAAAAAAACGTTATGGTTTCAACCATGGTGTCAAAGTGGTAGGAGCCACGCACAAGCATAGGTGTCCTTTTTGGTTGTGTTGGTCGAAAAATAGAGGGCGATTCCTGGTTTACCTGGTGGTTTAATCATCTACCAGGGATATCTATTTTCCTAAAAGGACACCTATGTTCACAAGACTCATGGCTTTCAGGAGACCAGCAGTTGCGCGCTGAAGCTGGTCTCACCTGGCGCACTGCTGCGAAAGCCGTGGCCCAAGCCATGAGGATGTGTGAGCGATGTGACTGTGGTTGTCAAAACCAATGGGATCCCATTTTGGTTGGGATTGAATTCACCACCCATTTTAGAACCTATTTTAGTGGGGATTGAATCGGATGTTCACTGCGGGTACGAGATTTTGACCCATGCCCATTTGCCAGGGGTCATCATTTTGTCGATTTCTAGGGGATATCAAAGTCAGAAACTGGGGTTGGCTCCCTTTATCCTACCACCTAGGGGATGGCTTTGAGAATGGTAAAATAAAGAACCCAGTTTGTTAGAAGATGATCATGAAGTTTGGTTCTTGCATGGAAATCAAGTGAAACGTGGCGAGTTCTCCCCCGACGTATTTCCGACACATTCGGTTTTGAATGGCCATATTCGCGATCGGCCATATTTGAATTCAGGATGGCCATAGGGAGGATAGTACGGTGAGCAGAGGTTAAGCCGAGCTGCGAGGCAACGACAATACCAAGTTCACTCTTTGCGTCGTTGTGCCATGCGATTCAACCTGTGTTGCCCGCAGGTTGTGATGCCGGCGCTGGGTGCTTCCGGCGCGGCAGCCGAGACTCTTGCGGCGATGCGGATGGGTTAGCCGTCCTGGGGGTAGTCTCCGGGTTGAGGGAAACCAAGATGAGGCTACTTTGAGGGTTCCCTTTGGAGAGAATCCCAGATGCCAAGGGAATGTCAAACTTGTTGGTGCAGTTTCACGAATGCTGAGGATGTGGATGATAGCAGCACGTGTCAACTCGAGAGACGCGCTAACAGTTTGCGAGTTTATGGACACCTTTGACTGGCCGTTTTGTACATTTTTGAAATGCTGTGCGCCCTTGTTATCGCTCCCCCGAAGCCGGTGTTTCAGTGCTCAAACGTCAAGGAATGGTGTTCACCTGGTCATTGGCCTGGGTCAGTTCCTAACCTGGATTTTGCAGCCTCGCTCGAGTCGCAGGCAGTGTCAGGAGTAGTTGAAGATGTCGAGAGCCTTTGCAGCCAAACGACCACACCGAACAATGCGAGATTTCCAGATTGATTGAAACTCGGTAGTCAGGGGGTTCATTTGTCTCTGATTGGCCTCTATTGTGGCGTTTCTGCAGTTCGCCGTGCATCCTTGTTTGGAGTTGAGCAAGCCGCTGCCTACCCAGGCCTCGGCCGAGTACTCAGGCAAGCTGCGGATGGCTTAGCCCTCGCTTGCACCCAGGCATACCCAGGCTCCAGGAAAGTATCCTAAGTGGCGACCCGCATGCGCCGCGACCTTGCTGAACCCGTGATAGAATGGATATGAATGGATGCATTCGATTGGACCCTTATAAAATCCCTGGGGCCTAGTCAATCTCCAAGGTGGAGCTTGTTCGAGCTGCGCGCCGCGACATGCAACTTGGGGAAAACAAGTGTGCAGTCCTGCGCTTTGCAAGTTGGAGCTCGATGAACGAGGTTGCCACTCCCTTCTACTTATTGGGTTGATGCTTGTGGAGAGGGAATGGGTTGCTCCTCGCAAAAGGCAACCTCCATGACCTACCTTCGTCATTTTTTCCCAGGTACTTCTCCAGATGGGCATTACACCGTTGACCTTTGATGGGTATGCTGTGAAGAGCGTGAAGCTGCCGGCTCCTGAAATGCGTTGCAGACTTTTGAAGGTGGGTGGGTGGTTGGGTGTATGTGTGGGTGTGGTGGTGTGGTGGTGTTGTGGTTGTGGTGAGGTTGTGGTGTGGGGGGGGGATGTGATTGTTTGGGGTTTGAGATGCGATTCTCATCAACCCAGAATTCAGACCGCAGGTTGATCTTTGAGACTTGGAGTCCAGTTATTGCACTCCTGGAAGGAACCATGACCATAATTCAGAGATGTAATCTTGACACATGTGACATGATACTCATGAGACTAGTTAAAAGCGAAGCAGCCAATTTGCAGGGGCTGAGAATCTCAAATTCGCCGGTCCCCAGCTTTGCCTTGGTATGACACAGCTTTGGGGCTTAAACAAGAGCTACTCATGACCCCTAACATGACGTTCCATCAAATTTCAGATGGTGTGAGTATATACCATGTTCTGTAGCACCAGATTTAGCACCCTTGGTGGGAGCTTGCCGGCGGTTTTGGACGTAGACATTTGGTGAAGATTTCGGACTTGCCCCTTTGCTACTGCAAGGTGGGGCTTGAATTGCAGAGCGCGCCTGGCCTGTCTTGACTCGTGCTGAGCGTCATGATGAGCACCAGCCGTTATTGGACGCGTGGCCAGGCCTGCTTTCACTTCCACCGGGATTCCACGAAGGCTTCTATGCACATGACGTGTTGCTTCTTGGTGTGACAGTTGCACATCCTGCAGCATTAGCATTCGCAGAGTGTGAGAATCGGCGGATGGTGCCATGCCCGGCGATTCTGGCACTCCGAGTGGCTTGTGATGTCCCATCTCCGTGTGGGACACCGGCTTCGCTTCACTAAAAGGCTTGGGCCGAGTCAGCGGCATAGAACCCCAAGCAGCAAGTGCACACCGAAGCATCCAGTAGCACCTCTCCTCGGTGGCCAAGGATCGGCTTAGGAGCGGTCAGCAGGCCTCGCGCTTTGCTTTGTTTGCAAAAGGCACCTGGCTGCCCTAGCGACCTGGCAGCAAGTGATGGAGCGAAACGAAGGAAAGACAGACTGCTTTTTGTGGGAACTTTGTGTCACGCAAAGTCATAAGACGTGGTACTGGTTGGTAGATTTTTGCTGAAGAATAGTTTTTTCCTTGTGTTATCCATATTGCTGACCAGATATTCTTGCACAGAGAAAGCAAGCAATGCCTAGTCAACCGATGTCGGGCTCCAGTTTGGGGGGGAGACGTCAGAATAATCTGATGGTGCTTGAGCTGCATGTGACTTTGCCAAGTGGCCGGAGTCAAAAGATTTCAATATCAGAGTCCTCCAAAGTTGCGGAGTTGAAGATTTTGGCCCAGCGGGCTTTGGACCAACAGTTCCTCAGGCTTGTCACTACGGACGATCGTGTCTTGGATCCGAGTGAGCCACTGCAAACAGCAGAGCTTCAAAATGGAGACCACATCACGGCTCTTTCACTAAAAACAAATTTAGTAGCTTCAGGCGCTGCCTTTGCAATCTGGTGGTGTGGGTGTGACGGTATCATCGCTTGGGGCGATCCAGAGTGTGGAGGTCACAACTCTATTGTCCAAGATCAGCTCCGAAGTGTGCAGCAGGTTCGGGCCACGTGGGCTGCATTTGCTGCAATCCTTGCAGACGGATGTGTAGTTACATGGGGCCATCATAGAACGGGCGGTGATAGCTCTGAAGTGCAAGATCAGCTCCGAAGCGTGCAGCAGATTCAGGCGACATGGGGTGCATTTGCTGCCATCCTTGCAGATGAAACCGTAGTTACATGGGGCAACCCAAGTCAAGGTGGTGACAGCTCTCAAGTCCAACATCAGCTCCGAAACGTGCAGCAGCTGCATGGCAACGCACGAGCTTTTGCTGCCATTCTTGCAGACAGATCTGTAATTACCTGGGGCGATCCCTTGAATGGTGGCGACAGCTCTACAGTCCAAGATCAGCTCCGTAGTGTGCAGCAGATTCAGGCCACATCCCCTGCGTTCGCTGCCATCCTTGCAGATGGATCCATAGTCACATGGGGCAACGCAAGTTATGGTGGTGACAGCTCTCAAGTCCAGCATCAGCTGCGCAACGTGCGACAGGTTCGGGCCACGTGGGCTGCATTTGCTGCAATCCTTGCAGACGGATGTGTAGTTACATGGGGCCATCATAGAGGGGGCGGTGATAGCTCTGAAGTGCAAGATCAGCTCCGAAGCGTGCAGCAGATTCAGGCGACACGGGGTGCATTTGCTGCCATCCTTGCAGATGAAACCGTAGGTACATGGGGCAACCCAAGTGAAGGCGGCGATAGCTCTCAAGTCCAGCATCAGCTCCGCAACGTGCAGAAGCTTCAGGCCACACAGTCTGCATTTGCTGCAATCCTTGCAGATGGATCCATAGTCACATGGGGCAACGCAAGTCAAGGTGGTGACAGCTCTCAAGTCCAACATCAGCTCCGCAACGTGCAGCAGGTTGCGGCCACAACACAGGCCTTCGCTGCAATCCTTGAGGATGGATCAGTAGTTTCCTGGGGCTGTCCGGGCGATGGAGGCGATAGCTCTACTGTCCAGGATCGGATCTCACTCTAGAATCTCTGGAAGATTGCGGGATGGCTTTTCCTCAGCCACGGCAGTTGTCCAATTGCCTGAAGCCTGTAATGAGGGCAAAAAAGCTGCTCAAACGCTGCAACTGCATGATCAGTTCGATCTGACACTGGCCCTCTGTGGTGAACAACGTTGCAAGCGTGCAATTCTATATCCAAATGATACTTTACAGCGTCCGGCTCATTCCGCCGTCAGCGGCCGCCGGGGAGAGAGTTTCCGACAGAGTTGCGCTGTGCTGTTGTGCAAAAGAACATCCACCCAGACTCGCAACTAACAGAAATCCCACCAAACACCTACCCCAAACCCACGCAAAACCCAGACTCACACTACCCACCGAACAAAACCCACAACCAGCCAAAACCCAGACCAAGCCCACCCAAAACTCACATAAAACCAGCCACCCAAAACCAAGACAAAGCCCAGACGAAACCCACCCAAAACCGGCAGAATGCTACGACAAAACCCACCCGCCCAAACCCACGCACAACCCGCACAAAATCAATACCCACCCAAAACCCACACAAACCACGCAAGACTCACACAAAACCCCCAATACCCACTCAAAACCGTCGCAAAACCCAAACGAAACCCAGACAAAACCTACACAACGCCGACCAAAACCCCTCCCAACACCCAGACAAAACTCACCACAAAACCCACCCAAAACCCACCCAACAAAAACACAAAGAACCAGACAAAACCCAGCCAACACCCACACAAAACCCTTACAAAGCCCACCCAATACCTACACACAATCGTCCAGAAACCCAAACGAAACCCACACAAGACGCACGCAAAGCCCGACGGGAAGGATTCGAGCCCACCACCCCCACCCAGGCGCCAGCGCAGAAAACAGGTGAACGTCACAAAATCTTCATGACTAGGTTAGCGCGGGGGACCCAGTCGCTCCTTAGATTGAGGGGCGCGGCAGGCACGCTTGCCTGCTTGCGGTTTGCTCGGCAGGATGTTGGCTGGCATGTCTTTCGTTTGCAGGAGCAACGCGTTAGTTGTTTGGGCCAGTTGCCATATGCCCGCAGGCGCTAGTTTAAAACAGTCGAGCGAGTGATTGATTTGCGTGCTGCTTGATCGCCCTGAAGCACGCTTAGTCCCCGCCCGGCACGCGGTCCCCCCTTTGCATAGGTGCGCCTTTTCCTGTGGGATAGGGGGAAGCTTCCAACCACACCGGACAGAAGTCGGCCAATTTGACCAACGGAAGTTTATCAGAAGCTTCTGTGATTAAGATGGGATTTGCTGTCTCAGAAATGCATGCGCTGCATGGAAAAACTATCTAAGCAAACCATGTAAACGCGATAATAGGGGAACACGCGTTCAGCTCCTTGGTGGGTGGGTGTGCAAACTCTCGGCTGCGACGCTTGACGGACGCGGTTCAGAGCGGTCTTGGAGCCGTCTCGGAAAAGGGCCGCTGGCATGGTTGCGCGCGCTGCTTCAGAGCCTTCGCGCGGCGACCAGCCTTGGGGCGTTTCTTTCTGGCTGGCGATCTGGCCAGCTGACTATCCAGTTAGCTAAGTGGCTAGCTATCCAATCAGCTAGCTAGCGAACTACAAACGAGCAGCCAAGCAAACTAGCTAACTCGCCAACTACTGTCTACCTTTTTACAAGCTAGCTAGCAAGCTCAACCTACTGAGAAACTGACTAACTAGCTGACCAATTGATTCACTCAGTCGCAAAATTCGAGCTAATAGTCCAACTCACTGACCAGCGAATTCGCTGCTTAGTTGACCGGTGTGCTGACGGTTGAACTAATCATAGAAGCTTATACTCCCCCCCCCCAATCCTTCTTTTAAAAAACATGGCTAAGGTTTTGTAAATTTCAGGAAATACAATAGACCATGCAAATAGACCATGAATAAGTTAGTCTAACTTATGAGCAGCAGAGTTTAGCTCGCCAGCTTCCTTGGCTCACGAGGTCATCATTGTAGCCCATTAGAGCGCATTTAGCCAACTAACTGACTGACGGACTGACTAACTGAACAATTGAGTAATTAAGCAACCGGGCAACTGAGTTCTTCTAAGTAGCTAGCTAAATAAGTAAGTCAGCAACTAGCTAACTAACCCACTCTCTCACTCCCTCACTCACACTCACTCACACTCACTCACTCACTAACTAACTAAATGACTAAGTAAAGAACAAATAGTAACTAACCAACTGATTCATGTGTAAACCAACCAACCAACGACTATGCTCCGTCTGGCTATGTGGCATACCTCGCGTCAGCATTTCACTCGCACTGCGCAGGGCTTCTCCCCAAGATGTTCGACGTCCCTGGCTTCGCCGGCTTTGCTGTGGGTATATTTCAAGGTCTACGCAACTTAACCGTTTCCGATCTCCTGTTGGACCCCACCCCGGGTTCTCCTTAGAACTGTGTTTCACCAGTCGCGTTGCCAAGGCTGAGCGGCGGAGAAGACAGGCGCTGTCAGAGGTGCTCCAGTTTTCTGGTGGACTTGGATGACGCCCTGAAGTGGCAGAAGTGGCTCAGCGGGAGTCCCCAAGGCGATGCTCTCACACGCGCTGAGACTTCCTCAAGTCTCACGTGGTGCGCAGCTGTCACGAGCTACATGGTGAGATCTTAAGGCCCGGGCTCGGCGTCCAGCCCCAGATTCGTTTCGCAAATCGGAGCAGGAGCCCTGGTATGAGGGTTGTGCACATCGCGCAATGACTTCCTACAGACTGTAGAAAGCCATTGCGATGTTTGGTGCACGTGTTTGGTTCGCAGCATCCGTTCTTGGCTCTGTACAGTCACCTGTACAGCTTCGCAGAGTCCAGTGGGTCCAGCAGGCCTTCAATCCTCTGACAGAAAAGCCGGTTGTGAGAGTGTGTCCAAGGCGGAACATATTGCAAAAAGCACGGAAGTACAGATATCTACATAAGTCGTTGTATCTTCATTTGATCACCGAAACTCATGCAGGCTCCAACACGTGCCCCAATCTCAGGGGTTTAGCATACCTCTTGCTGTGGGAGGTGTTTTGCCCAAAGTGCGGCAATGACACCGTGGTGCGGGTGCCAATCATTGTGGATCAGGACCATTTGGGGGATGAGAGAAGAGCAAGCGGGAGGTGTGTTCCAGTCAGGAGTGTCAGATTGGAGTGCAACGCCTCGTTTCTGCCACAGCTAAGACATTCATGCAGCCTGCCACAGGGTTCCGTTTTTTGACTACCCCAAAGTCGACTTAAACACAGGGGAGGTTGATGTCCCCAAAAGGGAAACCCCTGGGTTAAAGTCTACCTTGGGGTAGTCAAAAAATGGAACCCTGACCTGCCATGCATTTGGATGCAGGACGGAGTTCCGTCCGTTCTCAACTCGGGGCGGAAGCTCAGGAGATTCGTGTGATAACGGACGGTGCGCACAAGCAGTGTTAGGTGATCCGTTGGAATGGGTGCACGCAAAGCTGCTCGTTAAGGCTAGCTTGAAAAGGATGCCTGAGCCAATTGAGGACCTGAACATCATGTTGACAGTGTTTGGGGCACACACTTGACAGTGGAATGGAGGAGACGCGAAACAACTGAGCTGTATTCCTGAGCGCTGAACAACCAAAAAGAACACATTTGTGTCCAGAAGCCTGACATGTTGCCTAAACCCCCGTGTCTCTTGGATTATCCGAATCCTTGAGACTCACCGGCTGCTGAGCGGCTTGAAATGGCTGTGGCTCAAAAACATGTACAAAAAAACGGCACCTTGGTACATAGAACCAACGGCTAAGACCCGCGGTTGGTCCCGGCTCTTAAATTCTGAGCCACCTCCGGGTCTGATTCTGCTAGGACCAAGGGGACGGTCTTCTCCATGCCCAAGCCGCAGACCGGCCGGGCCTGGAAGCCGATCTTCGCGGAGGAGCTTCGGTTGGCTCGGGCTTGGGTGGCCGATGGGCGGACCCGAAAGGTGGGGTCTGTTGGAATGGGAGCACTTCGTACAAACATGCCTATGGCTATGAGAGAGAGAGTGAGAGTGAGAGAGACAGAGAGAGAAAGCGAGAGAGAGAAGAACAAAGAAGACAAAGGGAAGAAAAGGGAGAGAGACAGAGAGAGCAAGAGAGAAAGAGAGAGAAAGAGAGAGGGAGAGAGGGAGAAAGGGAAACAGAAAGCATGAACTACTCACACTGCTGATTGCATTTGGCTGCGTCTAAGCGCTTCAAAACTAAGATCTCATGAATTGGCAAGTGAGCAAGAAGCACTAATTCACAAGCTTTTTTTTGGAGTTTCATTAGATTCCACGCTCAGTGCACAGGCCTTTGAGTCTTGAAAGAGCCTTTCAGCTTTCTGTTCTGAGCCTCGAGCCTTGGTTTTCATTTCGGCAAGCCAAAGACTGGAGCAACGCAGATTGGGCCCCAAAGAAATGGGCCGATAGCGGCGGCGGCTCGCTCATGTGCGGATGGTGCTGTCCGAGGCTGGTGGAGCGTGGCGTGTTAGCTGGCACTTGAACGTTTGGTCCAATTCGAGGCCACGAGCTGAATGGAGGAAGTGGCTGTATGGACGCCATTCTTTAGTTGCAGTGTGCATGCTGACCAGCCTTGTGTTGTTCCATGCTCATGACAACATATTTTCGTGGGTGCAATCAAATGTGTCCGCGCGGCTCGGATGGGGGTTCCGGATCTAGGGGCCCACTACTGGTCAACTTGGTGGTAGAAGCAAACACAGCGACATGTTGGATCAATCATTTGCGGGTCCTTTTGACTTGTGACCAATTGGTGTTTGGAGGAGACACTGGTTGGCCATTCCCGCTCTGTTCAGAACAGGACCCCGCCATCGTTCCTTACATCGAACCTTGAAGAAGCACCAGTACAAAGACTGCCTGCTGTTGCCGGGTATTGGATTCAACTGCGCCTAGTAAACTTTCAAAGCACAGCTTTGAGACAGAAAGTCACATTGGTCCAATAAGCAACGCTCACCCCCACTGCTTTCTTGAATTTCCGGCAGCTCAGAAATTTGGGTTTGAATTTCCGGCCTAGGAAGGCCAGCGAGCGATTTCCGATTTCCCTCGGTCTTGAATGTCTGGCAGCTCGTTGTTGGGGTACCTTCCCAAAACGGTGGTGTTTCTCTTTAAACTTTCAATGTAAAAACACCACCCAAAAGAGGAAACATGGTGGTGTTTCTCTGATTTTCAATGTAAAAACACCACCCAAAAGAGGAATCCTTCCAAAAATGGTGGTTCTCTTTAAATTTTCCATTTGAACACCACCCAACAGAGGAATCTCTCAAAGGACAGACCCATCCGGCAGCGCAGGCCGGGAAGAGCCTCAGCAGTAGCCAGCGCATCGTCGCCTGAGGACCTAAGCGCTGGCTTCGGATCTGAGTTGGAATCAAAAAGAAGAACTTCCACCCCCCTTTGGACTCCATGTTTTTGTCCACCCCAACTTCCTCCCCCCAAAAGAAGTTGTTTGGACACTTGGGATTGTGGACATGGTTGTAAAAGCCGGCAAGTTGGGGGGGGGTTTGTTCGGCACCAGGAAATCGTCCATTGGATTTTTTCAACCCCCCGAAGAACACCACGGGTTGCTGATGTTTGGCACTAGCTCCGAAAATTCAGGGTGCGCAACGAAGCGTTGCTCACCATTCTTCTTGTGGCCTGAATTTGGAAGAGATGTATTGGCAATTCCTGCTCGGCCACGGTCAAAACAAGTTCAAGACTTCAAGAGCACGAAAGCATTTGAAGGGGCCTTAAGTTTAAAGGTCTTGTTTCCAGCAAACCTCAGAGTGATCCCGGATATGGGTCAAAATTAAGTCACCAGACCGCTTTGCTTTTCGTCCGGTAACTTCAGCGGTCCGCCATAGGCCCTGGGCTGCGAGCGTTCTGCGCCCAAGCAGCTCTTAGAGGCAGGCAATAGCCGATGCCATGGGCAAAGGAGCGGGTCCTTTACTTGGGGTTGACAGGGAGGGCCATGTTTGGTAAGTATTAGAAAGATTTCTATTTAGAGAACGGAGGTGATCCTTAATCAGAGTTAAATTGTAATGATTGCTATTTGGAGAACCATGACCATAGGCCAAATGTGAGGAGGTGTTGACCACGACACATAAGAGAAGCAATTTTGAGAAACACCCATATATGAAAATTAGCCAAGTTGAAGAGTTATCTTCTGGGGAGCTACAACGAACAGCCAGATGGCAAGAGGGCTTGGTGGTACTGTTCAAGGGGAAGTATGCTTCTGTACAAGGGAATCGCTATGCGACTAGTACGCTACACTTACACAAGGTTACAGCTGGCTGGCCTGTACCACAGTCGTACCCCTTGTGCCTTTGTTCCGTTTCCTTGTACCTTTCCGGTACCGCCAATACCAAGCCAGCCCTTCTCCGGAAATACACATCTCCCAGGGCTGCCGCTGGGTGGGTGGCAAGGCCGGCAGTGACTGATCGCTTGGGTTGGTTTAAAGGGGAACCAACAGAACACCCAAACCTTTTTTGGAGACCAAAAGGACACCCAACCTTTTTCGGGTGTTCGATTTTCAGACCAGCCGAAGTTGGACTTCTAACGGCAAGCCTTGCAGAGCCAGGATGCGGAGCTCGACGCCAGCCTCGCGAGCGCTGCCTGCCTGTCGGCTCTTTCACTCGTGCGGAACTAGTGCCTTTCCTCGTGTGTCAGTTCGGAAGAATGAAGCTGTGAAGGCCCGACTCATTGCAAGTCGAGCTTTGAGGAACTACTGTGAACTGGCCATGGGTCAAAATCCCGTACCCCCACATATCCCCACTAAAATAGGTTCTGAAATGGGTGGTGCAGCTACCCCAAAATGGTACTATTGGTTTTGACCCATGGCCACCTCACACGACCGAATTCACCCCAAATGGTGGTTTATGTGGGGAATAGCACCCCAACCACCTTATTTCAGGCTGGTGAAAATATAATTCACTCGGATGATTGTTTCACAGGCTTGTCAACCTGATCGGTGCACCAGCTCTCATTTTGGTGCGCGCAAGTTTTGGCCGCGAAGTGCTGCGCCAGGTCAGTGCGCTGAGGGCACCGAGGGTGGAAAGGTGACCGATCTGCCGCTGGCTTACTCTTCCGCGTTGTTTGTGCTCTGTGACACTTCTCTTCAGAAGCTGAAACTGTTTAGCTGTATGGGAACTCAGGAACTTTCACTACAAGTTCCTGCAGGGAGCTTAGAATGAGGGCCAGGAGAGATCGTGCATTGATGTTTCCTTTGGTTTCGCTTCAAAGCCACCCTCAGAATTGGAAAGAAAGCAATACATGAATATATTTGAATATATCTATATAAATACATATACATATGCACATGATTTGCCAACGTGTTACATGTGATAAATTCAGGATACGAATGGGTCATGCGGATGTTGGAGTTATCCACACAGCCTTTGGCTTAACTTTGGTGCCGTCGCGACCTCGGATGTGCGTCGACGGGCCCGCGTCGGTTGGGCGCATCTCGGAGGCGACGTCCAAGAATGTTCATATTCCATGGATGTTGTCATGGGGGGTCGGCAAGGGTTGATGAGGGTAGGACTCCACACGTGCCCCTTCAACAGCCGGAGCCCATGCAGGAGGATACCGCGAGTCGAGGCCAGCAATTTCAGGGCATGTTGGCAACTGTTCAGAGCATTCCCGGCGGTGGCCAAGATGCGGGGCGCCATGATGCGGAGCATCATGATGAGACTGATGAGGTTGAGGACATATAATGCATATATATATATATATATTTATAGATATATATATATATATATATATATATATATTATTATTATTATTATTATTATTATTATTATTATTATTATTATTATTATTATTATTATTATTATTATTATTATTATTATTATTATTATTATTATTATTATTATTATTATTATTATTATTATTATTATTGTTATTATTATTATTATTATTATTATTATTTTATTATTATTATTATTATTATTATTATTATTATTATTATTATTATTATTATTATTGTTATTATTATTATTATTATTATTATTATTATTATTATTTTTATTATTATTATTATTATTATTATTATTATTATTATTATTATTATTATTATTATTATTATTATATTACATATACACAATATGTGCATGTAAGGTTGGTTTTAGTTTGTTCCCCTCTCATGCTTGCCGGCGCCTTTTGGCACCTCCCGGCCGCCCGAGGCGGGATATCCAAGGCCTGGCGGACTACGCGCCCAACCTTCGCAGCCTCGACTTGTCCTCGCGCGGGGCCCCACCCCGCAAGAGGGAGCGTGGAGCCGTCAGCTTGCGCAATTTCAACTTCACTTGGCTCTTTTCGTCTTTCCCCCTAAAATGACGGGCGTCCCTTGTTACCCCTTTAACACCAACCCAACAAAAAGGAAACCGAGTCTCGTGAGTGCCCTCTCATAAGAACTGCACTGTGTGTTTGGCATTTGCTGATGCATAACTGGGGTGACAAGGAAACCAGCCACCTGGAGGGGTCCCTCATCTGAGAAGCAGCAATCAGCCATGACTCAACACATGCTACCGAGAACATGAGGCCGCCAAAAGGAGCCATTCCAAAACCAGTGCAAGTTTGGAGGGCTACAGGCTCTGCCAAAAACAAGCGCTATACGACTCAAATCCGGCACCGAAATCTGGCACTGCCGGGAAAAAGTTGAAAGTCGCCCAGCGAGGGCGAATCGCCCCCCCCCAAAAACAGACAGACCATCATGTGGGCGGGCCCCCAAAAAATCAGACAGACCCATTTTTGTTGGTTCCGGAAGCCAGGAACAACATCCGAGCTGTGGAGAATCTGGGGGCCATGCCGAAGCTTCGGGAACTGAAGCCGACGCCCCATCATCGCGCCGCTCATGGCTCGCGCATGGCGCATGGCTCACGCACGAACGGCAAGGAACGCATGTGGGGGATATGTGGGGGTATGGGTGGGAAATGAAACCAAGGGGGACCACAGGGTTTGGTGGTGGGTTCCATTCACCGGGGGGTTCATTTTGGGTGCCTATGTCTGACTGACCCACACCCATTTGACCGGAAACATGATAGGGGATTGATGTTGGATGCGCCATGCTTGAGAGAGGACAAGGAGGGACTTTGGGAGGTCTGAAATCCGAAAGTTGAGACAGGTGCAGCGCAAAGGCTACCCTTCGTATCCCTTTCGATTTTGCCACAGACTGGGCTGAGGTTGGACAGCTGCCAGATCTCCCGTATCCAGGGCCTGGACAAGTGTCCCAGCCGCGCCGCGATGCATTCACATTTTGTGTTGCACTATATTGAGAAATGCTTATTTCGGCTGATGCCTGGTGCTTGCGAGCGATCGGTTTTGCCTTTGGATCAAACAGCGTTTCCTCCATTCCCGTTTTGGAACCTTCAAAAGTGGCACGTTCAATCGACACCGCCAGTGAATTGCAACGGGGAAATCCAGTCACCCCTGTCAAAGTGAACTGAGCTGAGCAAAGAGACGACTTGGCTCGAGATGGCAGGTCTAGTCTCGCTCCATTTGGAGGACAACGAGATCAGTTGTGTGGAAGGACCAGTCCCATGGACGATTCAGGGCTGCGCAAGCGGGCTTGCAAGGGCCATTTCGCAAGCCGGCCTGTTCCTTTGTTTGGCATAGATGGGTCCGGTGTGGAATTGTTTTTCACCGCCTTGTTTCTGAGATGCCCTCCTTTCTGGTTGCTTGGTTTAAATGGGAAACCAAAGGAAGGTTTAGCCCATTTTCCGGGTACCCCTATTAATGAGACCAACCCCGAAGCCCCCCAAGGCGTTTCTTGGATTCTGAAACGGGGAACCAGGACTTGAGAAGCTCTTCTCGCTGGAGGTCTTGAACCTGGAGAGGAACCGGATTCAGAGGCCGCGGTTTGCCGGTAGCCACAATCCATATGGCCATGGATCTAAACAAGGAATTTCCTGGAAAGTGGTTGGTGGACATGAACCAACACCTAAACGATGACCAAAAAAAACTAGTTAAAGTCCATGGCCATATACCAATCTGCATTTTTCGCATGCGTGCTTTCTGGCACGGATGCCCCGGAAGAAGCTTCTCCATGGCTTCGGAGATGAGGCTGGGCAGGGGCTTGAACAAGCTGACGAAGCTGAAGGAGTCCACTTCTCGGCTCGACTCGTGTCCCGAGTCGAGAGAGTCGGTTCTTTGGTTTAGACCTTCGGCGCACTTTGGGGGGGGTTCTCCACCCATTTGGAAGCCAAGAGGAAAAAACACCTCCGGCCCACAAGTGAGGGGGGGGGGTCGACGCATTTTGGATGGGTCTGATTTGCGGATTTTGTGGTTGGCCATGGGACCTGGCCAGCACCAAAAGGGATTGGGCTGGAAAGAGAGATGTCTTCGGTGCTTGTCCGAGTAAGTGGCGCGAAGGTAGCGCGTTGCGGCTTCAGACACAACATTTAGTCACTCGCGGCAAGTGGTGCTAGCTCTGGCATCGACTTCAATGGCCGGCCTCAAAGTATAGCTCGGCCTTGTTGCATCCATACTTTAAGCTAGATGTATGCAATCAACGCTTGATCTTTGATGTGTGCCGCCGTGTTTGTTTAGTTGACCAGGTCGAACTTTGTTTGGGAGGCAGGGCAGGAACACTGCGTCATACTGCGTCTCTGAGCACAGCATCTCGGATATCTCAAGCTGCTTCTTTCTTCTTTTAGCTGCATGGGTCTCCTCTCTTTGCTTCTTCTGAAGCATGACTTTGTAGAGGGTGAGCACGAGAACGGCAAAGAGGCAGAAGCAGCACGGCTCCACCCTTGGCCCTGATGGCCCGGGAGCAGTTCAGCCCTTGCCCGTTAGTGTTTCTTTCGTGAAAGCGCCAGTGGGGTTAAAGCCAGGGCCATGCGGAAAAAGAAGCAAAGAAACACCTCGGCCAGTTCCGCCGCAAAGGCTGCGTGTTGCGCTGAACGAGCTCACGTCACTGGAGGGCCTACAGGGTCTGGTCAGTTTGGAGGCGGGGTGGCGCTGGGGTTCTGGGGCTTGCAGCGGGTGGCTGGGCCCCGAAAATCCGATGGTGGCTGGGCTCTGTGTCACTTGGCCCTTCAAAGGCAACTCCTACTTTTCTCTCCCAAATCTTGCACCAGTCACAGGCCACCAGGCAAGAGAGACCAGATTCCCCTGCAACATTTGAGACTGGCCTGTGCAAAAGTTGATTGTTGCGGTAATTCTTCCCTTGGTTCAAGGGGAAACCAAAAGGTCAACCACAAGTTTTGGGTTTCCACTAGTTACATTCTCAGCTAAACCCTAACTCACTTCACTTTTGTGTCCAATTTCACTCACGCTGCGATTTGGAGCGTTGCGTGAACGGTGTTGTTTTAGGCCCGGTGCCTGTGTGCTGCATCAAGTTCGCCTAGTTGCCTAGGACTTGACACTTGGCTTGGCCATGCTCGTGAGAGGTGACGCCATCAATCCAATGATATACATCAGGATCATCCAAGAGGGCTGCGTGCTTGTTCTTGCGGCAGAGCCGTTGGCTTGACGATATCCAGGAGGGAATGAAGCAGTATCAGGATTGCAACTTGCCGTGAGCAGTCAGCGAGTTCATGAACTTGGTTGTCAGAGCAAGCCCCGGCTTTAAATCGTGAAGCAGCCAAAACACTTTGAGGGCACATGTTGAGATGTGGTCCATTCCAGTTGAACACTGTCATACAACGCAATTCAATGCAAACCTGTCATTTGCGAAGCAATCAGGATTGCCACCTCGGCTGCCGATAAGCACTACGAATTTACTGCTACCTGCCTTCTATCGCTTCTATGACAGTATTCTGGAGTTGGCCCTCTCCAAATCCTCCAAGAGAGGTTCGGATTCGTGAGAAGAGAACTAGAGCTTGAGGAGTTCAGGGCACGGAACCTCTTTTGCGCGGCCCGCGCGCGCGAGCTCGCGGCTCCGGGTGGCAGTGGGGCAGGTCTTGGATGCCAGCCAAAATCGGCTGGAGTCAGTGAGCCTGGAGCACCTCAAAGGCCGGCGCACCTTTCCGCCGCCTTTTTTTGTTTTTCTTTCCTCGTCGAAGAAGCACACATGTTGTCGGGTGTGGCGTCCTTTTTGGTTGTTTTTGTTTCAGGGAAGCCCACAGGAAAACGGACACTCATTTTGTGGGTCCCCAAATGAACAGATACACCCAAATCAGTTGCTTAAAAGCTGCAGGGCCCTGTGAGCGCCTTTTTGGTGAGCGCTGGCGCGGCGCCGAAATCAGGCCTGGGCAAGCTTGACGAGCTCATGCTGGCAGGTGGGCTGTGAGAGAAAACGGTGTACATGCTCTATGTTTAAAGCGGTCTGTCTAAGAACGCTGCAAGGAACGCACGAGAAAAAGGAAAAAACAAAAAACAGAAACATTGCAACCGTTGTTTTTGCCCCAGTTCAATTTGCCAAGGGGCCACCAGCGACAAAAAAAACCTTTGGCCAAATGGATCAGATCCCAACCCTCATGGACTGAGACAAAGCCTGGGCGTGTGCTTTTTGGGGCACCCCTCTGTTTTTTTTGGGACCACAAAAATCGGGCGCCCGCTCTCGCTTGCTTGCTTGCAGGTAACCAGCTGTCTAGCCTCGGCTTTTTGGGCACTGGGGGCCCGCGACACGCCCTCAGCTGTGGCCGTGCTGGATAGTTTTGCATCTCCAAATGACCAAATGTATTGTTCGCAGTGTAGTAGATGTATCAACGAATAGCACGTTTGGCCGACAAAGTGTTGAAGTAGTGCTTAAAGCCTGTACTTTCTAGCCGTGCTTACTGATGCCTGAATGTTTGACAGCGCATCTTCTCCACATAACATCTCATTTGACAATGGCGGGCACACATACTTCGCTTCCTCACAGTGTTTTGCAAGTTTTGTTGGTGCCCGTAGGTTAACTAATGCTACTTCTGGCTTTTGCCCTGCACTGGCTCGCCCTCTTCGCATTGACGCTCTCTCGCACAGCAAACGCCGAACGTCCGAGTCCGCTTGTCATCACTTGACGTGACGGACAATCAGCTCTCTGCCTCCTCGTTCAAAGGCGGGCAGCCTCTGAACCAATTGCCCTGAATACCATTAGTGTGTTTGTGTGTGTTTTTGAGGGTACCTCTTTTTTGTTTAAACCTTGGTTTAAAAGGTTAAAGGGAAGCCAAATGGGACATAGCACGATTTTTTGGGTAGCCCGGTTTTGAGACATACCCAGATTCCAGAAGTGTTCAAGTTTTCCGCTTGCTCTTGGGACTCAGGCTTGGAATCGCGTTTTGGACCCGTGTTCAAAGAGGCTCCGATGGTTTGACACTTGATGTGGCTAAGTCTAGCGGTTTGTTTCCTCAGAAGGGCAAGTCGTGGAAGGCCCAGTGGTCAGGCATTCCCAGCCTCTCGCTCCTTTCCGAGCTGATGCTGGCTGGCAATGACATGGAGGACTTGATGTGTCTCATCTTCGTAACAAATGCCCCGTTTTGGCAGTGTGTCGCAATCCAGAAAACGTGACAGTGATGCACCGTGCCCGACTTGGTCGCAGATGATTATGTAGCTAAATTTGGAAAGCTGGCACAAGCTGCGGGTGATCAGACCAAATCGGCAAACCTGTTGGCTGCAACATTGACCAACGTTTGGCCATTGCTCGGAGGAACTTCCTGGCAACTTTGTCAGTTGCTGGAGCCTCAAGATATTTTAGTCCCCACTGTCCGAATCGAGTGAATCATGTTAATGTAGCCATTGCAACACGTTTATGAGTGGAAGCAAGCAGTCATCCGGTGCAAGTATTCTAAGTGAATGCAAGGCAAGGTGCACGTTCCTTGGCAGCTGAGGTTGCCCTGCGCTGGAGATCCTGGATATCTCCCGCAACAGTCTAACCACTTCTTCAGAGGCGGGCATCTCGCTCGTGTTTGCATTTCTTTGTATCCCTAGATATGCCTGGCACAAGTACCCTGACTTGCAGGCAAACAAACATTGATGTAATGCACACAATGCACACAATGCCCACATAAATACCTACCTACTTGCCTACCCACCTACCAACCTGCCTCCCTGCGTGCGTGCATGCAGGCATACAGACAGACAGACAGAGTCGGACGGCCAGGCAGGCAGGCAGGCAGGCAGGCAGGCAGGCAGGCAGGCAGGCAGGCAGGCAGGCAGGCAGGCAGGCAGGCAGGCAGGCAGGCAGGCAGGCAGGCAGGCAGGCAGGCAGGCAGGCAGGCAGGCAGGCAGGCAGGCAGGCAATCAGAGATACATAGACACGCACGTACGTACATACATACATAGACACACACACACACATTCTTTGGGCGGTTGTCCCGACGCCCGGCAAGCCCAGACTGAGATCCCATTATTTACAGTTTATTGTTCGGGGTAGGAACCCGATTCTCACTGTTGCGGCTTGAGGTTTGGAGCAAGATGGCTTCCCCTGCCCCCAAACCGCTGCATTGCAGTGTGTTGTAGGATATGCAGGTCACTTTCTAGGCCGTACTGGAGGTAAGTGAGGTGAGCCACAATCAAAGCCCGGGTAAGTGAAGGATAGCAAGGGAAAGTCTCTCAGTCAGAATTCGTTGCGGCCGCCTTAGCTCTTTACCTTGGTTTGGGTACACGATTTTTCATACCCATCGGTTTTTTGTGACTCAGGTGCAGAAGCTGAAGGATCTCAGCACCCTGCGGGAGCTCAGCATCCAGGCGAAACGTCTCGCAGCTACGTCAGCGCGTAAGGAGTCTCCCAGCTGCTTGCAGGTTTGTCCTCAGCTTCGCTTGCACAAAATGTTCATGTGATTTTTGGAGGAGTCCTTCCACATGCAAGGTGCTGGTGTAGGATTTGGGGTGTTTTGTGCTTGCACGTCTCACAGCCAGAAATTTGGTGTGCCAAGGTGTGATATGATGAAGTGCAAGTATCATAGATCGTCGCGGTGTCACCTCTCAACACAAGGGCTTGTTCGTGACCAGTACTTTTTGCAGCGGCGCCTTTCTTTTGCCAATGGCAACCACCAGATGGTGTCAAGGCAGCTCGATTGCATGAAAAGCCTGGCCAGGGCAACCCCATGGCAGACAGGGAGGACATGCCCAAGGCCAGACTCAGCAAGCCACACCTGGAGAGGAGCACAAACACAGACGATTTGATCAGCTTTAAGTCTGACGGCTCTCGGCTTCTTACTGACATGACCATTCCGGGCAAGGTCTTGTCCTCGCTGGAAGCTTTGGAGTACCTTGAGAACAGGCGTGACTCCAGTGCGATTGATTGGATGATTGACAGAGCCCACGTGCATGTCCTATTGAAGACAAAAGCGAGGGTCCCACATGCTTGGCATGCTCTTCTGCGTTACGCCCCCCCCTCCCCCCATACCTTCAAAAGCCTTGAGGGGGGTTGTTCTCCCATCAGACTTTGAGGCCGTAAAGGGGATCAGGGTTTGGACTTTGGGATGTGCAGGCAGTTTGCCCCAGCTTCGCAGCTGATGCTTGAGGACATTGGCGAATCGTTTTTTAAGGGACAGGCTATGAGAGGCTCGTTCCTCTCTATCCATCTAAAGCGGCAAGTATTCGAGTATTCGATCCACCTTGAGTTTTGATTGCTGACTCGTATGTTCTCCTGCTGACTGATGTTCACGCAAGCAACTCACAAGATTCCTATTAGTCTCTCGATATCTTGAGAGGGTTACTCAAACTCAATCAAACCCTCCCGAAGCAAGCCAGCAGCAAAACATATTTTGCCATGGGCAACGGGTCGCGTGGTTCAGCGCCAGGAGGGAGAAGATGTTACCTTTGACCTTACGACAGTGGTGCGCACCGGGAGGGCGTATTGGGGTGCTTCTGAGGTTGAATTGGGTCTCTTTTGTTGAGGGAACCCCAAAATGGAGGGTGTCAAAGGGAAACCAAAAAGGAAACCACCTACTTTGGGTCCCCTAAAAGGAAGACACACCCAACTCTTGTCCGCTTTTCGTCGGGGCTCTCAAAAACTCCCGGGCGAAATGGCGTTCCCAAAGGTTCCGTTTCCCTTCAGCCCAAACCGGCGGAAAAATTTGACGAAGTCGCCCAGGGCTCACCCAGCTTCCTTTCTTGGGTGTCGGACAGTCTGTTTTCTTAGGTTCACGCACTGGTTGTAATATTCTTTGGGTGTGGTTCTCAAAATGTTCAAGAGCCAGGGCAAAGCGCAGGTTTTAGTCTTTGGTTCCAGAAAACCAAGGTGCGAAGTTGGTACATCTTTTTGAGCCACAGCCATATATTGATTAAGGTGTCTTAGCTCAATCTAAGAGGATTAGCATGCTGCCGGATGTAGACCAAGACGCATGGGCTTGAGGACCATGTGGCCAGATCTGTGGATATCACGTCAGCCACGTCTGCCCTTCCTTTCTTTCCGTGAGGCCAATGGCTCGCCCACTTCCCGGCCTGGCACAGCTGGCCGCAGGGCGCCTCAGCGTCGTTGCTTCTGATTGGGCGCCAGATTTAATTCAAACGAATAAACAACTCACTTCCTGAGTTCATGAACTCTAAGCTTTTTGGGAAGACCATTTTAGTGGTAAGTATAAAGTTAGAACTTTTTTGGGGCCATCCACTCAGCAAGTGAGAAAAGGGGATTGGCAAGTTGAGCGATGTCAGCGAAAGTCGTGCGAGGAACATGGGACTTCTAAGTAGATGGAGAACCTAATAGAGCAGCACTCCAATTTCGCACTCATGCCTTCAAGTCGACGCAGAGTGGATGCTTTTCGCCTGCAGCTGGAAAATCAAGTCAAGGACTCGCTTCAGACACGCACTATGGGGAGTGTCATTTCCAGTCAAGAGGACACCATGGCTGCGGGCTGTGCCTACTCTCAGGGTCGCTTTGTACCAGTGGCCGACGCATCGATTTCCATTCTCGACTACGGCTTCCTCCACTCTGATGCCACTTATGACGTGGTGCATGTGTGGGACGGCCACTTCTTCCGCCTGCAGGATCACCTGGCGCGGTTTTTCTCCTGTATGCAGCGGCTGAGGCTTCAACCAGAAGAGAGTCCAAAGCAGATAGAGGAGATCCTGCACGAATGCGCGAGAAGAACATCTTTGACAAGCGCCTATGTCATGATGCTGTGCACTCGCGGCGTGCCACCCGCTGGCTCCCGCGACCCAAGACAGTGCCGGAGCCGCTTCTATGCTTTCGCGGTGCCGTTCTCGTGGATTGCCACGCCTGAGAAGCAAGAGACGGGATTGCACCTCAAGGTTTCACGACATCAAAGGATACAGCCAGAATCTGTGGATCCAACCATTAAGAATTTTCATTGGATGGACATGACCCGGGCTTTGATGGAGGCCCTAGATGAGGGTGGTGAGACTGCTGTTCTTGTGGATGGTGCCGACAATGTCGTTGAAGGGCCAGGATTCAACATTTTTGCCGTGGTAGATGGACAGCTGGTGACGCCAGCACGGGGAATGCTGGAAGGCATCACTCGACAAACGAGCCTCAACTGCAATGTAAGCAACCGCCTCACTTTCGTGCTTGCCAATCTGCAAGTACTGCTTGATGTTCTTGAATGAACTGAGAAGGCAACCATCCACCATGGCCTTGGGTGTCCAAAGCGAGAACTAAGGATCATGGAGTTGGCTCGTGGCTTTGGCTTGGACATAGAGGTGGGTTTGCTCCCGGTGTCAAGCCTTCGCCGAGCGGAGGAGATCTTTCTTAGCTCCACGGCGGGTGGGGTGCTGCCGGTCACATGTTTAGATGGGCAGATGATTGCGGGTCCTGGGCCCCTGACTCTGCGGCTGAAGCAGGCGTACTGGGACCTCCACCGCGACCCAACATATGTCACAGAAGTTTTAAGATGAGGCGGACAGGTGTGGCGTGCACAGTCTGAGCACGCGCACTTGACAGATTGTAAAGCTGGAAGATGGCTATGGTGCCACACACACACACACACATACACATACGCGCAGAAGATGGCAAATGTCTTTCCAGGGTGCAGTGATCATTCAATTTCAAGGCATATTAGCATGAGTCAGAAGAAGCCGTTAAGCATCCATCGACAAGCACAACGGTCGAATAGGAGGTGTGCGGGAGTATGTTGCAAGGAAAAGAAACCCAAGCTCGCTGACAGTTCGCTTGATTGTAGGAGTGTCTTCTTTCGAGGGTACCCTTTTTTGGACAGTTTCAACAGGGGAACCAACCGGAAAACCATCATGTTTTTGGGGGGGCCCCTGCAAAACGACTGGTGTGTTCTTGTTGGTGACGAATTAGGTGACTAGGTCGCCGGCGGATTCACTCTCCCGAGGCCCCGGCACGGCAAGTCGTCCCGACACTGCAAGCCGTCCTGGGACCGCCAGCAAGGAGGCGGGAGAAAGGATGGCGAATGTGCGGCATGCGAATCCAATCCGATGCAGTGTCGGGAGATCCGTCTTACGCGTCAAGAGCTCAAGGAAGAGAGTTAGAAGACTGTCTGCAATGCCTAAGCAGTCATATGCATGAACGCCTTTTTGTTATTCGTGCCCAAAATGGTTGGTGTCCTTTCGTTTCCTTCTAAAACCCAGCCAAAAGGGGGGTTCTCCGGCAAAATGACACACCCAGCTGACCACTGCCAGGGCGTGCAGCCGCTGATGCACTGCGTGCCTAAGAGCTCCAAGAAGTGCGCCGGCCGCCAGCCCCGGAAAGCAACGGGCGGATGGTTTGGGTCTGGTGGTCAAAAAAAGGGCAACCCCAAAATGGCAAAAATGGCTTTGAAGCCAACCAGAAAGGGCTGCCTTCCAAAGAAAATGGCCTCTCCGTTCTGCATGGCCCATGTCTTTTGCTTAGCAACCCTCCATTTGGCTGTGGCTCAAAAAACGGGTAACCCCAAAATGGCTTGCCCTGGCAATTGGAAACATGGACCAAGACCTGCGGTCCTCTGGTGGCTTAACTCTGGTACTACTACTACTACTACTACTACTACTACTACTACTACTACTACTACTACTACTACTACTACTACTACTACTACTACTACTACTACTACTACTACTTTTGCTGCTGCTGCTACTACTCACTACTACTACATACATCAGTCTGAGTCTGTAACCAGTGCCGTTTTGCACCTAGCCGAATCATACCCGCGAATTATACCTGAATCGTACCCGGACAATGAGCTTCCCCTGCCAAGGCTACTGCCAAGTCTTTTTCAAAGCGTCCGCACCACTACAGCCGCTGCTGCTTATGCTACAGCTGCTACCACTACTTCTGCAACTGCTACTACTACTACTACTACTACCACTACTACTGCTACTACTACTACTACTACCACAGCTACTACTACATTCATCATTCTGAGTTTGTAATCAGTGCCGTTTTGCACCTAGCCGAATCACACCCGCGAATCATACCCGAATCATACCCGCGCAATGAACTTGCCTTGCCAAGGCCAGCGCCAAGTCTTTTCAAAGCTTCCGCGCCACTACAGTCGCTGCTTCTACTGTTACTACTGCTACTACTACTACTACTAGTACTACTACTACTACTACTTCTGCTGCTACTAGTATTACTACTACTACTTCTACTACTACTACTACTACTATTACTACTACTACTACTACTACTACTACTACTACTACTACTACTACTACTACTACTACTACTTTTGATTCTACTACAATATTACTACTACTACTACTACTACTACTACTACTACTACTACTACTACTACTACTCTACTAATATAATATTACCAACTACTACTACTACTACTATTACTACTATTGTTTCTACTACAATATCACTACTAGTACTACTACTTCGACAACACTGGTACTACTGCTACTACTACTGCTGCTGCTGCTTCCGCGAATCATACCCCCGAAGCATACCCGCGAATCATACCTGCGAATCATACCCCGTACTCAAACCTTCCTGCCCGGTCCCCGTAAGAAACATACAAACCCACATGTCATCTCACAGAGAGTCCCTTAAAGAGGAAAATCCCACAAATGCTTTGGAAGAGAGGGTAGTATTGAGTGCACTACTGTGACAAAGTGCTTCATTTCCAGATGTGTGTGTGTGTCTTTCTTTGAGGGGACCCGTTTCCCTTGGTTTTCAGAAACATCAATTGGAAGCATTTTGATTTTCCCAGTTTAATACACACCCACATAGGTGGGGTTCTTTTTGAGCGTACCCGTTTTGCGGTTGGTTTAAGGCTTGGTTTAAAGAGAAACCACAAGGACAACCACATTTTGGGAGGTTCCCTAAAAAAGGACACACCCATCATATTACTCCATTTCAAGATCAGGCGTTGAGAGGTTCGCACCGTTCGCTCTCGGAGCCAAATCCGAGGCGAGGACCAGGTCACACAGTGGAAGCAGCAACTCAGTTGCAGTGCTTGGTTTCTCAAAATACTTGTCCCACCAAATGGCAGGATATGTTTTGCTTGCAGTCGCACTGAGACAAACCATTGGCAGCCTCCACGCCATCATGAAGCAAGTTGAAAAGACATCCTCGCAGGCTGGAGCCATAGGTTCGGTGAAAAAGATTTTCAGAGAAGACTCACCAGGTCAGAGGGCACAATGATACATGAACGCTCCATCAATTGTGCTGCAAAGACGCGCTTTGGCAAGACATGACCATTCCCAAGTTGCTTAAATCTAGGACTGATTCCAACTTTATCACGCATTGCGCCAGACATGTCAGACAGTTGCTGGCCTTCCATATGCTTTCGATGGCAAGGATCAACTCATTCACTACACATGTGAGGTCATGTACACACCTGGGCCTAACATCTTTTTTTGGAGCGGAGCTGGGCTTTGCTTTTGAATGGCACTTGGCGCCTTGAGAATGGCGTTTTTGGGGCAATCTGAGCTCTCCACTTTTCTCACACATGTGTTGTGTTGTCTTTTGAGTACCCTTTTAACATGTTTCTTGGTTGTTCTACGCGGAAACCATTTTTTGGGTTGCTTTCTGGGGAAACCATTTTTTGGGGTGGTTTTACAGGGAAGCCAAGGGGAACATTAAGTTTCTTGGTTTTGGGGGAATGAGTTGCAGGCCGACAAGGACTGGCAAGAGATGCGGGGCTCCCGGATCCCATGTTCCGCTCTTGTCGGCAGCTCCAAGAAAGGGGCACGGCTGCATCAGGCGGCGAAAGTTTGGCCCAGAAAGCAAGTTTGGGTACCAACCAAAAAAAATGGGACACGCAGGCATGGTCACGCAGTTCTGAGCAATGTTTGGCTGGCCAGAAGGGTGGCTAGCTGCCAAGAAATAGATTCTGGATGCTCAGCTCATGTTGCCAGCAGCCGACTGCAGCAAGCATGGCACCTGGGCATTTGACAAAGGCACGTTCCAGCAGCTTTTGCGTGCGTGCGTGCCTGCGCGTGAGTGCGTTACTTTTGTGGGTGTGCACGTTTCTTTGGTTTGAGTGGAGATGCCGAAAGGACCACCATTTGGGTGTGGCTCAAAATTAAACAGGAGGGGTTACGCAGGTTTTGGTCCATGTTTCCACTTAGCAGGGTTCCATTTTGGTACCGGTTTTTTTGAGCCACTGCCATCTGTCTCTCCGCTTGAGCCACGCTTTTGGCCGGACCCAAGCCACGAGTTGCGCTCCAGGCAGCGATGTGTGCAGAAGGCCACCGCTGCAAACCGCCGCTACGAGGAGCGAATGGGCGGCCGCCTCGGAGAAATTGGGTGCGGTGGGTGGGTGGGTGGCTTGAAATCGGCGGCCCCCCAAAAATGGCGCGCTGATTTTTTTGGCTTCTTGGTGTCCCACCCAACAAAAGGGCATCAAACAAGTACACACCTGCCCGGAGCGCTTGTTGAGTGGCTCGGAAGAACCTCCTTGCCAATCACCACCCACTCAAGGATGTCCACCTGTCTTTTCGTAGCAAGCACGAGAGGCCGAGAAGCTATTCCAGAGGCGGGAGCTGCTGAATGTCTTCTGGCAAGACACAGGGCAAATGCTCAATCATTTGTTTGCGGGGTTCTCAAAATACTGGTTCCCGGGTTCTTTAAAAGAAGTTTTATGAAATTTGGTTGCATGTCAGGGGGCGAGTTCCCTTTTGGCTTCCCTTGACATTCAGACAAGAGGCTCAATCCACCCATTCCGAGCACTTATCCTAGTGCCAGGAGCTGGAATTCTCCAAAGAGGAATGTGAGGCCATGGGCAGAGCCCTGGAGGCTGAGGCACGGAGGTCTGTGTGTGTGTGTTGTGGTATGTTGTGGTCCTTGTGTGTCTCTGTGTGTCTCTGTGTGTCTCTGTGTGTCTCTGTGTGTCTCTGTGTGTCTCTGTGTGTCTCTGTGTGTATCTGTGTGTCTCTGTGTGTCTCTGTGTGTCTCGGTGTGTCTCTGTGTGTCTCTGTGTGTCTCTGTGTGTCTCTGTGTTTCTCTGTGTGTCTCTGTGTGTCTCTGTGTGTCTCTGTGTGTCTCTGTGTGTCTCTGTGTGTCTCTGTGTGTCTCTGTGTGTCTCTGTGTGTCTCTGTGTGTCTCTGTGTGTCTCTGTGTGTCTCTGTGTGTCTCTGTGTGTCTTTGTGTGTCTCTGTGTGTCTCTGTGTGTCTCTGTGTGTCTCTGTGTGTCTTTGTGTGTCTCTGTGTGTCTCTGTGTGTCTCTGTGTGTCTCTGT